AATGTGATTTCTAAATTTCTAAATCTGCCAGTTTTAAGTATAGTGCCCAGAAATGCCTTGGATGTGGGTTGCATTTGGCATTCAGTATTGTGAGGCACTAATCAGCTAAGTACCATAATCCTCCTTACAGGGTACATTCTTACTTGACCTGGAGCTATATACAGCTACATAGTAACAGCATTAAATAATAACCTTTTCCTTAACAGGTCCATCACTAGAGGATTTTATGATCTCATCCTTGAATGAGAGTTGTTTTATGTGTAACTTTTTAGTAATTGAGTTTTGAAATAAAATGATTGTAAACAAGTAGAGACTTTCAAATCATCTGATTAAGGATGGCTCCTATGATTTTGCCAGGGCTAGAAGGATTAAATGAAAGCACTGCCTGGCACAATATTGATGTATTTTTGTCAACATGATGCTTCATGCTCGACAGATGTGCATTGGTTGAACAAAAGGTAAAACAATAAAAGTATATTAAATATTAATTGTGATATATAAAAAGATTTATTTATTTTATGGTTTTTGATAAATGTAAATTGATTTGTTAAAAGCTTTTTGTAGGAATTTCAGGAATGGAACCTATATATTTCATGTTTTACAGGATAGTATACTTCTGTTAAATCCTTGATTTAATGTATTTGAACAGCTTAGAATTTTAGAATTTGATTGCAATGTTATGTTTAAACTTTTTGGTTGGCATTGTGTAATTGTATTAATGAAGTATTATGTTAGTTTATTTGGCAATATCCATGCTTTGTAAAGCTTTTAAAAAGATGAAGATATTTTTTCAGATTATCGATTCTTTAAGTGTCATTTATATCCTTTTATTTTTAAAATGACAATTTTTTAATGACCTCTACTAATAAAGATTGTAAGAGATTTTCATATAGGTAATGCTTAATCGTAATAATATAAAATTCGAATTTACAGAAATTGGTAATCTTCGGGTTCTTCAGTCTGTGTCATTATAAGTCTTAAAAATTGCATATATCTTCAATTGAGTTAAAAATATGTGAATATTACAAGTTTCCATGTAATCTTATAAATGTCCTTATAAATGTTTTCAAATGTTTACTGGATTATATTTTCAAATACTTGATTATTTTATAGTATATATGGTCAGTAATATAGGTAGTATAGTAATACAAACCACATGTGATGGTAAAGTTTATAATATTAACATGGAAATTAGGGTAGGAACATGATGAATTAATATACAGTATGTAAATGGAGACTACCTTTGGGAAATTAAGAAAGTGCTTTTAATTGGCAAAAAATCTTCTTATATGGGGTTTTCTCTTCAGTCTGAATAATTTTTGGACATGGAATTTTAAAGAGTCTGATTGGTAGGGTTTCTTACTTAAGCTATTATGCCTAGTCAGAATAACATTTACAATGGAGAACCAGGTGTGTTACGTAGCTAGAATATTTAGATACAGATTGAATAGTTAGTCCATATGACAAAAAATTGTAAGCCATGAATAGAAGTGATACCCATTAAGGTAGATTTAGGATGTCTAAAATGTGATTTTCTATAAACTGGTTCTAGTTAAAAGCAGTATAATATGGTGAAAGAGAAAAGAATTGTAACAGCCTAGCTTTCAATAAAGAGAAGTAAGATGAATAGATATTAGGTGAATATAAAGTGAAAATAAATATTTACTTGTATTGCTATATCAGAAATAGGGATTAATAGGATGCATAGGAGTAAAAATTAAATTACTATCTTTTATTCTAAAGAAAGGCATAATTTAGATTTTTGCCTCTTACTTTTTCAGGATCTTTGAAGGATTAAGTGAAATACAAAATCCTAGATGCATTGCTCCATTCCTTTGAATTATAACTGATGGGTTAAGTACTATCGAGTGCTTTATGATTCTTTAGAGAAGTTTATAGTTATCATTATATTCTTTTGCCTATTAAATGTTTTCTACCCGATAATAATAAATGACAAGGCTTGCTTATAATGGCCAGTAGTGAAAATATAGACTAGATACAGTAATTGAATTTTCATAGACTTTCTTCAGTTCCTATGAAGAATATAATATCTAAGAAATACAGAAGTTTTACATTTTAAAGGAGAGTATATGTGAAATAATTCCTGATATAGTTGGTAAAAATTATTTTGACAGAGTATTGTAATATTTTGGAGTAATTAAGAGCAGATTCTTCATTGTTTGTTAAGAGTATTCTTAGAATGAAATCTTGCCTTTTTTCTAGCATAGCTTTAGTATACTATAAGGTCCTGTACCTTAAAGTGTATTTTTAAAAACCTAAGTCCAGGTAAAGTAACAGTGACAATAGTCATCCCAATTTCAGATTATAACCACTATTCTATTTTTACTTAAATCCAGTACAAATCAGCATCTACAGTATGATTCACATGCTTCAGGCAAATTTCATAATCTCTAGAACAAAGTGATTGCAGGATTTGATATTGAATTCAATTTTCCTAAGGTATGAATTTTAAAAAGCACTTAGATGGCTTGCTAGGGACTAATTATTAATAACCTTTCTTTTGGAACTGAATTCTATTATAGGAAGTAAATATTCTTGTTTATCATTGAAATAGAATATAATCTTCTGTTATAAAGACTCACTATATTCACTTTATTTATACTCTACTTACTTTACTTTCAAAAATTCTTGTTAATTCCTGAGGGTAGGAATGAAGTGTTCCTTTATTTTCCCCCTGTATTTCTATCCTATAATACCCAGTTTGATGTTAAATATATTACTGGAAGTCCATAATGCTTTGAGCTTTCATTTAGGCACAATAACTTGATGAAGTTGTGGTATACATATTATAACATCATAGTCCCTAAGAAATTGAAGAGGGTTTAGAATCATTCAGCTTCTTAAGAATAAGGATTGTCTTGTTAATTTCTGTATTCCTAGTCTATATTGTAGTATGTGGTATTTAGTTCTTACTCAATACGTGTTTGTTAAAAAAATATGAATTGTTGTGTATAACCTATGCCTCTCATTCTAAAGCACAGATTCCCCAAAATTAAATAGTTATGTAGGTTCAAATAGCTGGTTAATAGCAAAAGTAGGAGTAAGAAATGCAAATACCTTAACTCTAGTGTTCTTTTAATGATACACCACTACTAGAGTATTTTTTCTTTAGTCGTATGTATAAAAGTAATGACAAAAGTAAAATGAATGATGTATGATACACCATTTGAGTGCCCTGTTTTGATTGTAAATTTTAAACTGTATGAGGCTATGGTTTTATGTGACAATTGTAACATAAAAATTTGTCATTTAAGTCCTAAATGTTTTATATATAAGTGTAAATGCTAAAAAAAAAAACACATCTACTTGCTTAATTATAAAACATTTAGGGGACAGACTAGTTCCTTCGTTTACTACAATACTTTTCCCTTTACAATTCCAGGTTAGAGTCTATCTTGGTTTTCCACTTGTGTGAGATTGGAAAGGTGGAAGAGATACAGAATCCTTTATTGTCAAGCAGTAGTTGTTGGCAGGCAGGTAGGCATATGTAAAAGTCTTAGTGGCTCCTGGGCAAGCTCCTGTTAATTGGCCACCTTGATGCTGTAGGCAGCTGGTGGCAAATTCCCAGAGATTCTTGAGATTCACAGCAGCTTAACTTCTATTTTGAGAAACCTTGTCTTTGGTTCTACAGGCTAAGATCAGCAGCACTAACTTCCCTGGCCTTCATTCTTCTAACCTGGTCAACAGTTGTGTAGCTTCTGATTCCTGTATTAAAATCCCTCCTACCGGGAAAACCTGGGGTGACTTCTGTTTTTATTAGTGAACCCTAATTGAGAAATTGGCTGACTATATTCCAGATATGTGGGAAAGGGAATTCAGTGACACAGGGGAGACTTTAGAGTAGAATGATGATTTTGCTGAGTTGGGCCACCTTACTTTTGCCCCTTGCCAATATATATATAAAGTCTAAGAAATTCACTACTAAGCTGTCAAATCTTGGTCATCTTTAACTCTAACTGACTCCACTCTTACATTATCTCTTGTTCATGTCCGGGCAAAATCCCCATAGCAGTTATTTTAAACCTTTACTATTGTCTTCAGTATTCCAATCCTATTGCTTCCCATGACTAATCGTTCACTTTATCTGAGTTCATTCCAGAGAAGAAGACAGTGTGACTGTTTTGTTAACAGAGCATTATAAGTGATTGCAAGGTCCACTAGGTTATACCAGTGTTAGAAGGGCAGGTTGAGAACTTAATAAGCATTTTTTTTCTTCTGAGACTGTAAGGAAATATGAGGGGTCAGATGTGAAGATTGAGTAGAAAAATATTATCAAGCTGGCCTTAATCTTAATGAAGATCAAATAAAAATAGCAACCCTTTCTGACTTCTAGAATTTTTGTAATAAATAAATTATTGTTGGTATTTATTTACAGTGCTTATCTCAAGTTTGATCGGTAAAAAAGAGTTGGAGACATAATGATAAACCAAAGATTTAGATGAACCAATACTAGGAGTGATTTAGATAGATGATGAATGAAAACTAATTTTTAAAAAGGCAGCACTTAGTTTCAGTCAGAAAGTATTCAACTCTTGAGCCAAGTCAGTTTGACTTCATGACTTTTTCAAATAACTTTCCTATCGAGGGGTCAGGAATAGAGCAAATGGAAGGAGGTATTTTTCTAAGCTACTGAATAACAGTTCGAAGATAGCACAAGTATAACAAGCCAAGGAAGAAAATTAGAATAAAGGCCATTTTACAGCAGCAGAATATGATGTTGATTATGTAATTTTAGAGTATATTCCGTATGTACTGTTTTAGGCATTTAATAACTACAACAAAAGTACCTCTTAAATTACTTATTCGAACTGAATAAAATTAATATTACTAAAACCATTATTATATACCTTCAAAATGACATGGAAAAAAAAAGGCAAAAGAACTATTTGAATTTGTCCATCAACGTGTCAGCAAATCAGTGAAATGTAAAATTGTTTAAATTTTTCTCTTCTCATTGTTCTTTTCGTTTGCTTACTTAGGAAAAGGAGTCCATCAGTGTCCAGAGATCAGAATAGAAGATACGACCAACAGGAAGAAAGAGAGGAATATTCACAGTATGCTACTTCGGATAGCGCAATGCCTAGATCTCCATCAGATTATGCTGATAGGCGATCACAACGTGAACCTCAGTTTTATGAAGAATCTGATCATTTAAGTTATAGGGACTCCAACAGGAGAACTCATAGGCATTCCAAAGAATATATTGTAGATGATGAGGATGTGGAAAGCAGAGATGAATATGAGAGACAAAGGAGAGAGGAGGAGTACCAGGCACGCTACAGAAGTGATCCGAATTTGGCTCGTTATCCAGTCAAGCCACAACCCTATGAAGAGCAAATGCGTATCCATGCTGAAGTGTCCCGAGCACGGCATGAGAGAAGGCATAGTGATGTTTCTTTGGCAAATGCTGAACTGGAAGATTCCAGGATTTCTATGCTAAGGATGGACCGACCATCGAGGCAAAGATCTATATCTGAACGTAGAGCTGCCATGGAAAATCAGCGATCTTATTCAATGGAAAGAACTCGAGAGGCTCAGGGACCAAGTCCTTACGCACAAAGGACCACAAACCATAGTCCTCCTACCCCCCGGAGGAGTCCAATACCCATTGACAGAGCAGACATGAGGCGTACTGACTCACTAAGGAAACAACACCACTTAGATCCTAGCTCTGCTGTAAGGAAAACGAAACGAGAAAAAATGGAAACGATGTTAAGGAATGATTCTCTCAGTTCAGACCAGTCAGAGTCAGTGAGACCTCCACCACCAAAGCCTCATAAATCAAAGAAAGGAGGTAAAATGCGCCAGGTTTCATTGAGCAGTTCAGAGGAGGAATTGGCTTCCACACCTGAGTATACAAGTTGTGATGATGTTGAGATTGAAAGTGAGAGTGTAAGTGAAAAAGGTAAGCTTTTTAATCACCCATGTTGCTGTTATTGATTAGTTAAGGTTTTTTTGTTTTTCTTTTTTTCAGGTTGTATTTGTGAGTAAACGTTTAATAGATAGTGCTACCTTTATTTTTAAAATCTTTAGTCATGTTGGTCATGTGAAGAAAATTTCAACTTATGAAAAAGTATCTTCTGTTGTTCATGTATAAGAAAAGTCTATTGATTTTTTTTTTTTGAAATAGAGTCTCACTGTGTTGCCCGGGCTAGAGTGCTGTGGCGTCATCCTAGCTCACAGCAACCTCAAACTCGTGGGCTTAAGCAATCCTCCTGCCTCAGCCTCCCGAGTAGCTGGGACTACAGGCATGCGCCACCATGCCCGGCCTGATTTTTTAGAATTACTTTGTTTTGGAATGCTTTCCTGCATCATTTAAGAGCATATTTTAAAAATATCTATTAGCTATAGTTTTAAAAATAACTTTTGTTTTTCGTATCTCCTTATAAAAATAATATGTTCACTATAGAACATCTGAAAAATTTCTTAAAGTGTGAAGAATGAAATATAAGCAAGCTATCCATATTCCTTTCACCCAAATATAACCATTGTTAACCTGCTCTTATCTTTTCTTTCTTTTTTCCTATGTATGTATAGTTTACAGATTTATAAAATTGGTATCATACCATTTATAATTTTGTATCCTGATTTTTTCAATTAATATCATATCATCAGCTTTTTTCCCAAGCCCTTAGATGTTCTTTAGAAATATGTTTTAAATAGCTGCACTAATGTTCTACCTTAAGAATACACTAAAAACTAAATACTTCGCTATTTGGGGCATTGTGGTTGCTTCCAGTTGCTAATGTAAATAATATTATAATGGTTATCTTTATACACAACTTTTGCTTACACCTCTGAGTATTTCAGAAATATATATTTGTACTTTGGATTCTTTTAAACTTTAATTCAGATTACGCACTTGCTTCCCAGAAAGGTTGTAACATGCTTTATTACTGTCATATGTACCTGAGCTTTTGATCTCAATACACTAACTCTTTGCCAATTGAATAGTCCATAAAAATGCTATCTTTGTCATTTTAATCTTAATTTGATTGTGAAATTGAATGTTTTTATGTTTATTGGCATTTGATACCTTCTATGAATTATCTGTTCATTCCTTTTATTCCTTCTGCCTAGCTTCCTATGGGTATTAGTTTTTCCTCTTATTGATTTGTAAGAACTTTCTATGTATTTAGGATTTTACCCCATTTAACTGTTACTTCTGCCAAATCTATTTCTCATTTTGATGTTTATCTACTAATTTTCTTTGATTATTTGGAAATACTGATTTTAATATAGGTATACCTTTGTATCTTTGGTAATTTTTTAAAATTACTTTCATCCTTAAAAATTCTTTATTCATCCCCAGTTAAATATTTGACTTTATATATTCTCATTTTTATTATTTACTTTTTTAACCATTAACTTTTTAATCTTTCTGGAATTTATTTTGGTGTATGACAAAATACACCAGATTGGTAAGTATCTTGCCAACACCCTCCCTTCCATTTTCTTATACCATTTGTTGAATAGTCCATTTCTTGTTTATAAGAATCAGCAGGAATCATTAAGGGAATTCAAGAAGGCAGCTAGGTATGAAATTACTATAGAATCATTTTATACTATACCAAAATAATTAGTTAGGAAATATAAATTAAGAGTGGTTCCCATTCTGAACTAAATATAGAAAATATGATTTAAAAACAACTAACAAGAAATGAGGAAGCCTACAGGAAGAGCTACAAAATTTTACTACGTAACATAAAGGAAGATGTGAGTGGTGGTTCATTTCATGTTCCTAATTTTAGGAAGGCTAAATACCACAAAGATACATGTTCTTTCCACATACTTTCTTGGGGTTAATAACATTGTAGACATAATCTCAACTGGAATCTTGGAGTATCTTATTTCTGAACTTAATCTGGAAGAAAAAACACTGGTGATAATAGCCAGTAGTAGTGAGGGAGAACTCACTTAACCAGATATTGGTGAAATGGCAATGATTGATAATGTGGTAATGATAGAAAATTTGACAAATATATCAGTAGAAATTTTTTTTTTTTTTCAGACAGAGTATCTCTCTGTCACCCCGGGTAGAGTGCAGTGGCATTATGGTAACTCACTGCAACTTCAAACTCCTGGGCTCAAGGGATCCTCCTGATCCTCCTGCTTCAGCCTCTGGAGTAGCTGGAACTGCAGGCGCCCACCACCACACCCAGCTAATTTTTTCTGTCGTTAGTAGAGACGGGAGTCTTGCTCTTGCTCAGGCTGGTCTCAAACTCCTGAGCGTAAGCAATCCTCCTGCCTCCGCCTCCCAGAATGCTAGGAGTACAGGCGTGAGCCACCACGCCCGGCCTAGAATTGTAATATTCTATATAAAACTAATAAATGATAAAAATATAAAATGCACTACAATACAAGGGGGAAGAAATAAATTATTCAACAAATAGGCTTAGGGAAAGTGCATGTACAGTTGAAAAAAATCAAGTTAGACCTGGAGGAATTATGTTCAGTGGCTAATTGATATATTGTAGATGCTATACTTTCCTTATTAGATAAATTTTAATCTTAATATTATAATGCAACTTTTTAAACTTTAATTACATAGTCATGTTGTCAACTATTTGCTCCACTGCACAAAAGATAACCGGTTTGATCTTTTTTAAGCTATTTATTGTGGAGAGAGAGTTTTAACTTCCTTTGTGTTCCAGCGCTTAATCTGAGGGATTTTACTAGGTTGTTGCAGGTGTTTTTTGTTTCTCTTTAAAATCTTGAGTAGAGATTGGGCTAGGAAATGCAAGAATACATGCATATGGGAGTCTTCCAGCTATAAAATGTGAAATATTTGATTCAATTATAATATTAGACTCTTGAAAGTAGCACAACACAACTTTACTTATTTTGCAGAGGAGGGTGAATGGAGGTGGGGTTGAGGCAATTTGCAGAAAAAATCTAGCTTAGGAAGAAAAATAGATATACTGCACACACTCCAGGTAGAAGCATGACTCTTAAGGTATTAAAAACAAACCCTAAAGATGTCAGCTTTATATTTTGTCTGAGTTTAGTTGTCAGTATCAATAGTGAAATTTATCACCTTACATAATCTCACATTTATTATAATTTCTAAGTAATGAATTTACTGTATATGTTTTGTTTGTAAAGAAAATAGGCTATAAAGTGATAGATAATATATATTAGCAATTGGAGAGAAATATTAATTTATGGTATTTGAGACCAATTAAACATGTAAGGAATTGTAGACCAAGTGGATTCAAAAATTTTTAGGATAAATCATAATGAGAACATTTTAAAATATTTAGGTAGCTATTTTATTACTAAGACTTTCACAAGTAAAATTTCGTAAATGTAAAAGAATGTTTACTATCTTGTATATTCACTCCATCTGTTGGTAAAATAATTTTATGCTAAATAACTGTTTCAATTGTAACATGAGTTTTAAAACTTCACTCTTGAATAAAAAGAACTCAATCACATCAAAGTTACATGGATATAATTAATTACTCTGTTGCTATATTAGGCAACATTATGAAATTATTTCATCATATCTTTTATAAAAATAGCATACTTTCAATTCATGAGAAATCAAGTTGCAAATACATATTATGACTCTAATTTGAGACTTCAAATTACATAACATAAATATAAGCAGATTAATAGGCTAAACTCAAAGTTCATTTGTGCAATGCATAACCAGAAGATAAATTTACAAATGGGAATAAAGGAGAAGTTTTGGCTTTGTAAAAAAAAAGTTGCAGCATTTAAAATTTTTATGATAGTAATTCCATCCTTTTGCATAAATATTGCCTTATTAATTATGGATGAAATACCAAATAAAGCATTTGCCTACAGGAAAAGGACTGTTTTTAATAGAAAACTTAGTACCCAAGTAGGTACCATGAAAAACAACCTTACAGATTTCAGTGTGTGGGAGATATATGAGAGGGTTCTTAGATAAATGAATGGAAAATTAAAAGCAAAATTAAATTATAGACTAGTTGTTGAAACAAGTTTGGATTATAGAAAATGTTAATTTTTAACTTAAAATGAAGTCTGTTATATTGGATTAGAATTCAGTAGACAAGGCTTAGATTTTGATACTGATTGAGTACAGCTTTAAAAATTTGATGATGAAATTTTTTCAAAGGACAGAAAAGATATAATTTGATGAAGAACATATTATTATTAATTGATAAGAGGCATATCAGAGCAAATGCCCGGATGGTGTTACAAATGCTGTATTAGCCATTTGTATTTGAGTTGAAAAAGGATTGAAATAGCAGACAAGTTGGGTCTAAGCCTAATTCAGTATTTCAAGAAATGTACAGTAGATACATTCATTCATTCATTTATTTATTCATCCTTTATTTCTTTCAACTAAAATATATCAAATATCGATAATCTATGGTACTAGAGAGTATGAAACATGAAATAAGGTAACATTTTCTTTTGCCCTAGAATTTCAGCTTTGTAGTCCAGGAGTAAGAACTTGGGCTGTAAATTTCACTGCATGTATTTTAGCTGAGTCTTCTAAGAAAATTGTACCTAGAATAGGCTTTCATTTGTGTTAGCCTGTGCTAGGTATGTTAGGTAAGTGTAAGGTTTCTAGAGTTTGTTTAGCAGCAGGAGAGTCTGACTTCTTATATAAGCCTCAGCATTTAGGATATACAGTGTAATTTTACTGCATGCGGGATATTGTCCATTTATTAGGAATTTCCAGTTGAGAGAATGATCAGATAATACACAGTTTAGAGCAGGGATTGTTAAACTGTGGCATGGGGGGTCTAATTCACTCTACCACCTGTATCTGTATGCCTTTTGTTTTTTTAGCTGGGGATGTTTTTTAAATTTTTAAATAGTTGAAAAAAACCTAAAAAATATTTTGTGACATGAAAATTATATGAAATTAAAATTTTAGTGTCTACAAACAAAGTTTTAAACACA